GTCGTGTTTCCCCCACCCTCCCCTGGCAGTACACCCTCACCGGCAAGAAAGTGGAAGTGGCTGTGAAGCAGGCCATTTCTGGGAAGCCCGTGGAGAACCGCGTAGGCTTATTGAACCCCGAGACCCTGGACTGGTACCGGCACGTCCCCGAGCTGCAGGACTTCTGAGCGGCCCGCGTGTGGCGTCGTGACGTCTGCGTGTTTGGACACCCATGGCTCGGGGGACAGTCGTCTATCTTGTCTACTGAGGGAGCCCGAGCCCACCACGCACGGCGACAGAATCCTGGCTTGGTCGATGGGGCGTTTGGGGCGTGTGTGGCGGTCTGGGCGAGAGCGTGTCTTTGCTCAGGTGCTCTGGCGTGACCGTCACGGCCGATGCCTGGTCGCACTGTGGCACTGGCTGGTGTTGGTGACAGCACAGCACCGAGGAGCCACCTGGCTCCCAGCCTCCCCTCTCCACTCTGTTATGATGCATATTGGTTCCCTTTCCTCTGGTCTCCAGCTCTGGCTGTTCCTCAGGCCACACCCATGTCACAAGGCACCCCTCCTGTGACTTCGTGCCTGGCCTCTTCTGGTCAGGACCCGGTGGCCGACCGCCGTGCGTCGTCTGCTGGGGGAACACTGCAGTCCCTGGCAGAACCGTGGGTCGCCACGTCGAAGGCACTGCCTGGTGGAGGGATAGTCCCCTCTGGAGCACGAGCGGGTTTCGTGCTTTAATGGGACTTCTTGGCTTTACGGACTTATACATCTTTCATGTGCATCGTCTGTGTGTACGGCTGTTTGAAGAACGGGATGTCCAGCTTGCGGGCGGCCCCCAGGTGGCGGGTCCTCAGAGACAGCTGCCTGGCCTCCCGGGACATGGGCCTGGTGCCGTCCTCCCCACCTGAGGGCTCCTCACGTCAGAACAGCGTCACCAGCGTCTGTCCATCACGTCGCGGGTTTGATGGGTGCTTTGTATGTTCTCTGCAGTTCAGCACGTTAACAGGTTCCTGTAATCGTAATGGGTCGCTTTTGCATTTTTTAAAAGCGAGCACAATGAAATGCTTTCTGGTATCTTTTTTTTCTGGACTATAAAAACATAGGGGAAAAGTGCCATGAGGACTTCAATGCAATAAACATGCGTGTGCACGTGTGCACACACTACACTCAGGTGGCAGCTCTTGTGTTTTTTTCGGAGGGAGGTGACTGGCTCTGTGGGCGAAAAGGTGGGAAGCTGGCTATGGTGATGGGGGCCAAACGGTCAGGGTATTTGCTGGGCTCCTGGTGACCAAATGGCCCTACCGTGCTTCACAGCATGAAGCCACACCCCAGAGGGTAACAGTGTCCTTACCTGGGCGCTCTCGTGGCTCAGGGCTGGTTTCTGGATAGCAGCTCTGATCTCGTCATTCCAAGAGCTGCATGTCACTTGGATCGTGTCCGGCGGCAGGTCACAGAGTCCAGGCTCAGCCCAGCAGGGCTTATTTTTCTCGTGTCCCAGGAAGTTGGAGGCGGCCTCGTCTCCTGGGGCCGGTGTTGTGACCGCACGATGTAGCAGTGCCCAGCTTTTCCTGTCTCCCGTGCTCTGTGGTCCTCAGCGTGTGGCTGCCACACCTCCCGTGTCCCACCTGTGTTCCAGGCGGGAGGAAGGAGAAGCCGCAGGAGGGCCGGGTGAGAGGCAAGAAGCCCGCCCCCTCGGTCTGTCCCTCCGCAGCAAAGCAGTGGCTTTTCTGGAGCCCCCACCCAGTGTCCATCTGTTACACATCCATGGCCAGAAGCAGGCCGCCCCTAGCTGCAAGGGAGTCGGGGGTCTGAGTCATTTTAGACAGGACCTGTTCCTTTTTCTGTATTAGGCTCCTGCCGTTGCTATAACAAAGTTCACGAACGCAGTGCCCTAAAACAGCACAGTTTTATAGTTCCGGAGGTCAGAATCAGTGCTGGTAGGGCTCGCGCCTTCCGGGGGTACCCGGGTAGAGTCTCCCCACCCACCACACATAAGGACCCTGCGATTACACTGGCCCCGCTCGAATGATTCAGGATCATCTCTCTGTTTTACTCTCTCCAGTCCAGCAGGGTTGACCCCATCTGTAGCCTTACATCCCCCTGGCCATGCAACCGAATGTTTCCGCGGGTGCTGGGGGTTGGGGTGTGGGCATCTTTGGGGGCCAGAGTGACCGTGGGGAAGATGTGAGCCCTGGGCTGGAGGAGCTGAGTGTTTGGGACCCCTGGTTGTTGTCCGCCCCCGGGCTGGGCTCCTGCTTCCTGTGTGACCGCCCCTCCCAGGGCTTGGATCAGGCCTGGGGCTACATGGGTGCCCGGAGGCCCACTTCCTGTTGACTGTGCCTGGGAAGCTGTTAGGGCTTAATTGCTGTGCCCTTTAGTTCCGACAAGCCGTCCCAGGCTGGCTAAGCCTACTCATCCTTACTAATAAGCCACGCTGGACAGCTTCATCACCACGAGACAGATGGCAGGGAACAGCAGCCAGTCGGGCGCCCGCAGTGATGGCTCTCCACCGACGTGCCTGGGCCCCAGCGTCACTCAGCACAGCCCACCCCCTGCTGGCCAGCTGCCTCTCCGCAGCAGCCATGGCCACGGGTTGCACCATGCCTGTCCCCACCTTGCACGACCCCCGGCAGCTTCGGGAAGCGTCAGGGTCTGCGGTACATCCTGGCTGGACGGCCCGGACTCTACTCCTGCTGTCCCCTGCGGCCTGCAGGGCCCCAAGCAGCCCTTCCTCCCCTGGCCTGGCTTCCCACCCCTCTAGGAACCTTCTAGAGGCTGGAGCCCTCCTTCCCACTCTCACTGTGACCGCCCCCACCTCCTCGCCCGTGCAGACTCTGCTAAGGGACCCTGGAGCTCCACGCCGGGTGACTCCATCCTGGTCCCCACTCGCCTCAAATCTACCCTTTCTCATTTCGGGCATGCCCGCCGGTCCCTCTCCCCGCATTCTGTGCCCCCGGGGACCCAGCTTTGCTCGCTCACCTGGATCCCGGGCCCCCAGCCGAGGGCCTGAACCCACCACGCATTAGGGAAGGCATCTCCCCGACCTTCGGACCTCCTGTCACTGAGGGTGTAGGGGACAAGGGAGACCCTTTGCTTGGGTCTTCAGGCACCAGGGCGAGGGTCTCATAGGGAACAAAAGTCCCTCTCAGGGCCCAGCCACACCCCCTGACTCGGCTTCAGCTTGTGGAATGGAAGTGGCACCCTGGTTTATGGTTTATGGGGGGTAAATTGTAGTAATTTGGGTACAGGCTAAGCTGCTGTGATGAGCACCCCCGAATCTGGCTCAGTTGAGAAAGAGTTCTTCTATAACTGCCCCAGGGTGGATGGGTGGCTTTGCTTTGCTAGGTCACCCAAGGACCCAGGTCTCTCTCATCTGGTTGCTGTGCAGTCCCCGTGACGGTCTCGTCCACGTGGCCGAAGCTGGCACCCTGAGTGCACATCGCAGCCCCTTGGGAAAGGGGCCCAGAAGGAAGTGGCCTCGTCCGTTCTGCTCACGTCCCATCTGCGACAGCCTCGTCACATAACGGCACTCAGCTGTAAGCGAGGATGCTGGGTGATGTGTCCTTCAGCTGAGTCACAGCTTGTGGGTTCCGCTGACCTGCAGCTGGGGTTCAGCCTGGGGTAGAGTGCGTGCGTGTGCGTGAAGGCGGTGCATGTTCATTGGCATCTCTACATTTTAGAGGTAAACTAAGATTTTCGAGACAAGCTACCTCAGCCTGGAGCAGCATCCATTTGGGAGACAATTTTCTGTGTCCACATCAGGTGGCTTTCCTGGTTTATATGTTCAGGCTGTGAGCTCGCCAGTGTCACCGTTGCTTCCGACCTAAATGGGATGAGTGGGGAAGGGGCGGCCCCCCCCAGGAGAGTAGGGGTGCTGATGGTAGAGGAACAGTGAGGTTAGGATGGCTTCCTGATGGCCACCAGCTGCCCACTCAGCACAGCTAGGGGGGCCTTAGGGAAATGGCAGGATGTCCGCTGGAAGCGCTGTTGCTGGATTGGAAGCCGAGGGCCCCACCTCGACCTTTCACCCCCAGCAGTGACGCCCCAGAAAGGCGAGAGGGCACGACTCTGTAAGAGAAGCCTGTGTCAGGAGGGACAGAGGACTAAAGACTCGCCTGGGCCTCGCCTGGCAGACAGAGTCCCCAAAAAGGAATTTGGAAGGAGAAAAGTTGTTTTTCTGGTTCTGACTCTTCACGTGTCATGGGCGCAAACGAGACTTACACGCGCGCACGGCAGACGCGAGAATGGGATTTTGAGGGCCAGGCAGGTGTAGAGCCGGGCAGGCACCTTTTGAGGGCGAATAACGCCTTCTGGGGCAAATCCACCTTCCGAAATTCAGGTTCTCGTGGAGCCGGCATTTCCCGAGCGTGAGGGCTGAGTGCTAGCAGATGCCGCTCCCTCTGGAGCAGACCCTGGCTGAGCACTTAGGCTGCCCAGAGCGGCGAAGCGTCTGCTCACTGGACCCTCACAGCCACGCCACCGGGAAGATGCCCCGATGATCCCCGCACCGAGGTACGGAGGTCGACGCGCCTGAGGTCACACAGCTAGTAGGTGACGGAATTATTGGGATCCGAGCCCAGGCAGTCGGCTGCAGCCCCCTAAGCAGTGCGGTAGCCCCTCTCCCAGCAGATTTCTGGGGAGAGCAGGGATGGTGCCCTCTGGGGCGCAGTCAGTGGTCCCCATGTCGGAAGGAAGGCCAGAGCAGGGGTCCCCAGCCTGCAGACAAGCAGTGCTTGGGGGCCGCTGGCGGGGACTGGAAACTGAGCGTTCGTAGTGGGGGGAGCATCTGGGTGCCCCTCCCCTACGCAGGCCGGGCTGGAAGGAGCCCATGAGCTCCACACCACGTCCAGCAGACTGTGGTCCCTGCAGTTTGTGATAGCTGCCCGAACCAGGTGCCAGCAGCTACAGGCAACGAGCTTGTTTTCCATCAGTCTGGGCTGTCCTGGTGGCCAAGGGCCATGGCACCCACCGGGAGGCCTGTCGGGCTACCTTTCTGTAATGAGGGGGCTTCCAACCCCAGGCTTCGGGGTCTGGAGCCATTCATCCCGGGCTCGGGCTGGCTGGTGCTGACAGCTAACATCGCTGTGGTACTCACAAGCCGGGCACTGGGGCAGATATCACTATTATTCCCTTTTTACTTCTGGGGAGTCAGGCACCGAGTTAAAGAACTTGTCCAAGGTCACACAGGGCTGGGGTTCCTGCCAGGGCAGGCTGGCTCCGCCCACCGGCCTTAAACTTCTTCCTGAGCCTTTTGGGGAGAGCTCCCGAAAGAAAGGAGAGAGTTCTTTTGCTCAAACTCGTTTCGTGGTCCTTCTTTTGAGGTAATTCTTGAATATCTACATTGATTTAAAAAAAAAAGTTCATACCCCAGTGAAAAAGATCAATTACCATGTACGGTTTCCAAGTCACTCCGACGCTGTCACCAACCCTTTCACGTGCTTCAGCCGCTAATTAGATTTGGAGGAGAATCAATTCATGTGTCATGAAACTTTGAAAGACGACATTCCACGGGTGGCACGTCCCATTGTTCCAGCTTGATTGAAATTGTGGGTTTTAAGCGGGATGCTATTTACGCCCTTAAGACAATAGCGCTTTCAAAGGGACTGTGATTCTTAGGGCTTCGCGTGTGATTTCTAGGGAAATGGGGATTTTCCAGTTTTTCAGAATGAATGTGTGTGTGTGTGGTTTTTTTTTTTGGCTTTCCTTCTTTTCTTTCTTTTTTGAAACAGCCTGACTTGGCAGTGATCCCTCCCCGCCATGGGAATGTCAAGTCCCTGACAAAGCACGTGTCATGTAATTGCTTTCATGTCCAGAC